ACATGCTCAGGTGTGCAAGAAATACTGCCCCACCTTTTATTTTGTAGAGATCAACTTAATATTAGTTTGCAGCCTTTGTCTTACAACCCCAGGGTGGTGTCATGATTTCCGGATCTTATGCAGTGCTGAGAGCTCAGGGTGGGGTTGCAGGGGATCCTGCTCACCAGTCTGATCCACTCAGGTTACCACTGAGAAGCCTGCTGACGCCCCCTCCCTGGTAGTCTCTGCTACTTTTGGACTGCCCAGCCAGACTCTAGGGGCTTGCAAAGTCCTGTCCTCCCGGGACCCCCAGACTCTCTTCCTTTCCTGTTTCTTCCAGACCTCCCTGCTTTGCCCCTCCAGCTTCACTCCTCTCAAGACCTCCTGGAAAAGCCTCTGTGTCCTGGACCTAAGTCCCTGTTTGGGAAATGAAAGCCAGAAGATTCTGCAAGTTACTTCTGAGTACAGTCCTGTTACATACCTAGCCTGGGGCAGTGATGTCAGGAGACTGTAGAGGATGGACCTGGGCAGGGGAAGGTGGAAATATGTGGAGGGGGAAACATTTCTACTCTTAAAAGATGATCTAGCCACAGGAGCAGTCCCTCCGAGAGTAAATCTCTAGGTGGGAAGAAGTTGCTATTTGAGGCCAGGATATACGTGTGTGCCTGCTAAGTCACTTCAGTCATGTCTAACTCTTTGAGACCCCATAGAGGGTAGCCCGCCAGGCTCCTCTGTCCATGGGGTTCTCCAGGCAAGAATACTGGAGTGGGTTGCCATTTCCTCCTCCAGGAGATCTTCCCAACCCAGGGATCCAACCCACAGCTCATACGTCTTATTTTCTGCTTTGGTAGGTGGGCTCTTTACTGCTAGCACCACCTGGAAGCCCCTGGATATATGTAAATCCATTTTATTTATCTACTTTATTGGTCCATCCCTTGTGGCCCAGCTGGTAGAGACTCCACCTGCAATGTGGGAGACCTGGGTTCGATCCCTGAGTTGGGAAGATCCCCTGGAGGAGGGAAAGGCCACCCACTCCTGTATTCTGGCCTGGAGAATTCCATGGACTGTGTAGTCTATGGAGTTGCAAAGAGTTGGACATGACTGAGTGACTTTCACAAGACCATTATTTTCCATAGATATTTTCAAGATTGTCTATAGTAGATTCAAAAATTTGCCAAAAAGTAGGGGAGGTGATTGTGTCCTGATCTGTGATGGCTGTCATGACACTCAGCAAATCTAGTTAGGTAATTTGAAGGTTTCCAGGCTTTGAAAATGCTTCTAGTTCAAACTGGCCATCAAACACATACAAAAACAGGACAAGGAAAGTGAAACTTGGCAAGGATGCCCAGGTGATGGCCAAAGCGGAGCTAGAAACCAGCTTTCCCCTCTCCCAGCCCAGAGCTCTTGCCCCGTGATCCCAGCCCAGTGATCTCATTCATCTTTTAAAGAATCACCCACAGGGCAGAGGAGCCCAGTTTCTTGCTGACTCCACCTTCATTCAGCGTGGAACACAGCCCACCTTGGGCAGCTGGTCCAGGCTGTTTCCACACTCCACGGACCTCCCTGAGGTCCCTGGGTGCTGGGCACATGGCAAGAATGTGTCCTTAAAACAGGGGTGTGTTTCCCAGCCCTGCCTGTCCTGCTCCCAGTCTTGGGGCACCACCAGTGAAGTCATCCTTCCCCCCTGCACCTGGCAGGCCGAGACGTGGGGGACCCCTCTGCCTGGCCCAACTCCCTCCCTCTCCCTCCCCTTTCCTCTGCCCAGGGGGTGTCTCCATCAGCTACAGAGCAGGCTTGATTCTACCAGCCCGGGGAGGTTTTTCATGATGCTTTTTGTTAACCCAGCACAGCCTGCAGATCCCTCCCCGGACAGTTCTCAAGTGTTTTGTACTGTCTCCTCACATTTCCATCCTCTGTGTCTAAGGGATCATAGTTTAATATGGTTTCTCTTCACCAGGCCTCTCCCCAACTGCTTCCAATTTACATCACAATCGAAATGATTTTTGCTGCACTTAGTGGATTGTCTGTGTCATTACTTTCAGGGGATGCAGTATCAGACTTCCCAGCTCGCCCTCTGCTCAGGCTCCTGACCTTGCAGCTGCCTCTTTTTCTTGGTAGTTTATTTTGCCCATGAACACTCAGAGTTTAGCTGAGTTGCATTCAGGGAGACTGTCAGTCTTATATGTTAATTTTCTAATTGAGAATGCTGGTGCTACCTGAGGAAGACAGCAAGTCAGTCAGTGTTACTGACTCTTTGCAACCCCATGGACTGTAGACCGCTAGGCTCCTCTGACCATAGAATTCTCCAGGCAAGAATACTACAATGGGTTGCCATTCCCTTCTCCAGGGGATCTTCCCAACCCAGAGACTGAACCCACGTCTTCTGTATTGCAGGCAGACTCTTTACTGTCTGAGCCACCAGGAAAGTCAATGCCTTGGTGAGCTGTCTTTTCCCAAGGATTTTTAGATGTGCCATGCTAGTTGTTAGGTTTTAATATACACTCAGATGGAATTGGAGAAGGAAATGGCAACCCACTCCAACGTTCTTGCCTGGAGAATCCCAGGGATGGGGGAGCTTGGTGGACTGCGGTCTCTGGGGTCACAGAGTCGGACATGACTGAAGCAGCAGCAGATGGAATTATTTCTTCCAGTCAGATGCTTTAAAGCTGGGTGCTAAAGAGTTTATAATGAGCAGACAGAAGAGAAGCTGTTTCGTACCTGAACCATTTTGGTTTTCATCTTGTCTCAGCGCCTCTGGATGGTGCTGGTTTTGTTTTGGTTTGTGGAGACCACCACCTGGAGATAGTAAAGACTATAAGGAAAGTTTTTGCATTAATTTCCGATGAGTGCAAAAAAGAGAAACACCAAATCACGCTAGTGTACTGAGAAATTCTGTTTCCTTCTCTCCCTGTTTCCCTTGAGTGGTTTACAAAAGGAATACATTTTTGGTGAGGTGCAATTGGATAAATGATGTCTGTCTACTAAAGAAGGAAGAAATATTAGAGGATTATGCATCAGTAACTCATTCTCCGTGCGGCACTAGAATCTTCTCAGAAGCCGCCAAATATGCTTCCCTGGGGAATAAGACACTATTATTGTTGCCATTGTATAGATGATTAAGTTGGTGCTCAGAGAGGTTAAGCACTTCCTCAAGGTCACACATCTATTAAATTGTGGAGCTAGGATTTGAATCCAGCCACACTCATTGGAAAAGACCCTGATGCTGGGAGGGGTTGGGGGCAGGAGGACAAGGGGACGACAGAGGATGAGATGGCTGGATGGCATCACCGACTCGATGGACAGGAGTTTGGGTAAACTCTGGGACTTAGATGGACAGGGAGGCCTAGCGTGCTGCAATTCATGGGGTCACAAAGAGTCGGACACAACTGAGCAACTGAACTGAACTGAACACACTCAGTTGTCATTTTGACCTTTCCCCGCAAATCAAAATTGTGTACACTGCCCAACAGATTCAGAACCTCACAGGATGTGGGGATGGGGGTGAGGGTGGATAATTCCTTCTAAGGTCCATACTAGGAAAGAAAATACATCACACTCCTGTTTTGAAATTCAGTCGCAGCCTCCTCTCCCTATGCTCCAGGATATGGCCAGCCTGCCAGGAGCATTTGCATGCTCTCTAAGCCTAAGCAAGCATTAGGAACTTCTCTGCAGGGCTCAGTTCAGAGCCACTGTGGCCTCCACATCCCTCAGCCCAGACTTTCCGGAGGCCCTCGGAGGGCTCCTGCCTCGGTCTCCGCCCTTTGTCGCCCCCTGCTGGTCTCCAGGAGAGGCGCCTGTGCTGGAGCCAGAGAAATGGTACCCAAGCTCTCCTGTTTCCTCGTTGTTGTTGCTTAGCTGCTAAGTCGTTTCCTCAGCTCCAAGTAAAATGATGTGACCTGCCCAGCTCCCTTCACTCTGGAAAATCGAATAACCCTCCTCGAGCAACCATCCGATGCTTCAGTCTTCAGGACTGAGAAGAATTGGGAGTGAATGCATGGTCCCCGCTTCTCAAAAGTGATCACGCAGCATCCTGGTCATACATCGTTCCTGGGGGGCTTGAGGTGGCCTGAGTAGTGAGCAGTGAGGCCCATAATAGAGCTCTCAAGTCCTTAGCTCTCAGATCATTGTCACTGAACTAGCAGCATCAGTATTATCTGGAGGCTTGTTAGAAATGCAGAATCTCAGGTCCTCCCCCAGACCAGCTTGAGTCAGAATCTGCACTTCAGCAAGATCTCTGGATGATTCATATGCAAATCATCTTTGGAGGCTCTGTATCTCTTTTGCAATGTCCACAATTTTTATTTTTTGAAGACCAAAATGACAAGTTTACAGCTGGATTCAAATCCTAGCTCTGCAATGTGATGGTTATGTGATCTTAAGCACATACTTAATCTCTGAGTCACAGTTTACTGGTGGAAAGAATGGTATGGCATCCTTAACTTTCAGGACCCATCTCATCCTAAATCTGAGACTCAATAATTGCCCAGTGTCTCCTAACTCAGCCATAATTTACCTAGTTGTACTGCTTAGAAACATCAAACTCTGGTGGCAAACTGAGCTCTCTCCCTAAAACCTGCAAGCTCTCTGCTCACTGTGGAGAAGACGATGGACTATCCTCATCCTTTGTGTGAGCCCCTGGCAAACGACCACAGAACTCTCTTGAAGGGGACATCTGGGTCCAGGGGAGGTATTTCCTCCCCACCTCCATGACAGTAAAGATGGAGTGGACTGTGAAAGTGTGGAGTTCCCTCCACAGAGTGACGAGGGAGAAAGCTTCCCTGCCTGACCTCTTGACCCAGAGACTGGACCTGAGATTTCTCCAGGTCCCTTCAGCTCTGATGTTCCACATGCCTTAGTTTACAAAAGGGTTTTGACCTTTTCCAGTTAAAATTCCACTTAATCAGAGACACACTTAATGTTTTAAATTCCCCTACAGATAAAAATTGCTGTGTGGCATAGAAAACCATCTCCGTAATGTTTGGTGCTTCTCCCTCCTAATTAGCTTTCCTGTTCTCCCTTAGGACAGCAAAAACTCTTTCTCCTAATTCACCAGAATAACACTGACCACCATCTTCACTGTGAGGAGGTTGGCAGAGTCTTAGGAACTAAAGCCTTTAAACAACAGGGACCTCATGTCTCTAGAATAAGAACACACCAGAAGCCCCTTGTGCTGGGACTGGAGGTAAGTACTCCTGATGAAAATCACACTCCGTCAGAATATGAATGGGAAACAGCTCACCGGATGCTTCAGTTGTGCTGTGTGCCTCTGGGATACTGCTTGAGCAAAACTGGGCCCTTACCCTCAGAAGATGGGCAAGCTGGAGGAGGAATGAGGTGATGAAAATGCCATCGTGGACACGTACACAGAACCAGGGCAGGAGCACTTGTGGGAATATGAGAACCGTTTCACAGAAGAGTTGGCCTCTGGGGTAGCCTGTGAGAGGTGAGTTTGGGTTGGATAAACAGATGAGACAGGGACAAGCACCCCAAGCCCAGGATCAGCAGAAGCAGAGAAGTTGGATGGAGGCCACACTGGGAGAACGCGAGTTATCCCTGGAGCCCAGGCAAGACTAGAGAAGCCAGAAGGTAGGTTGTCTGGAGTTTCCCCCTCTTGCCAGTGAGAGGGTTCAGGCACTAAGGGACCCCTCTAATCAGCCATTCCAGGAATAGACTAGAGTCCATGTGGAGTCTTGCCCCCTGAAGAGTTTGATCATTGTGGGCAGGAGGAACCAGAAGGTTTCTGGTCAGAGCCGTGCCTTCTATAAGCCCTCTCGTGTACCTGAGTGAGAGATGGAGGTGTTGGGGTAAGACTTGCTCTGGGAGTGGGTAGGGGGGTCAGTCACTGCAGCAGCCTGGACAAGAGGCAGCAGCAACACAAACAGCTGGAAGTGAGGGGAATAGATGCTCGTGGTGGTGTCCTGAGATGAACTTCACAGGAATGGCCACCATCTGCACTGATGTAGTTGAGGCTTCTTTCAGTGGGGGGTTAATGAAGCTGATCTGACTTTACCCACCTCATTAGAGTTTTGTATGTACTGAAGATGGAAATAAGGGTCCACAACCAAAGACAAATAGAGCACGGTGTTTGATGAGTCAGAAAGGCTACAGCCCCAAGTGCTCTGAACGTGGAGAAAATGCTACAGATGCCCAGGAGGATAGTTCAAGCTATGTCCAGATGTGGAAGAAGAAGGAAGGGCTCCCTCTCAGAGGCTATCATAAGCACAGATAACCCCTCCCAGGTAGGATGGGAGAGAGCAGATGAGATGGGGCTGCTCCAAAGGGCCCCAGGTTCCCCCCACCTGGACCAGCCCATCCGAGGAACCCAGAGTGTAGACCTGCCCTCAGCACCCTGGTAGCTGGCCCTTCAGGTCATGAAGAGAGAGGAGGACCCAGAGGCAGGATGTGACAGATTGATTCATTCAGCAGAGATTTACAAAATAAGCTACAAACCAGTGAGCTTGAGGGCTTCCCAGCTGGCTCAGTAGTAAAGGTGAGCCAATGCAGGAGACACAGGTTCAATTCCTGAGTAGGGAAGATCTCCTGGAGGAGGAACTGGCAGCCCACTCCAGTGTTCTTGCCAGGATAATCTCAGGGACAGAGGAGCCTGGCGGGCTACAGTCCATGGGGTCACAGAATCAGACACGACTGAACATGAGCACAGGTGTATAGTGAGTCTGACAGCTATTGTGGGCAAATTCCTAGAAGAGATCTGCTCTCCGGTCTGCAGCCCTGAGGACAGGCTGCGGAAGCCCCTGCAGGTGTGCATAGGTTCTAGAACAGCAAGTTGTATCAGACTCCACTCGTTTCCATCTTGACAGCGTTACCAGCTTCCGGCAGCCCTGGGAATGCAGCAAGGCATTTGACTGAGTCTCTCGTGATCTCCCCTGCCACTCCACGACACATGAAAGGGAAGTTTCTTGCTGGGCTGGACGTACTAGACCAGCTTTGTATCAAGGCATCATGCGGCAGAGAGATGCAGACAGGCCCTAAGGGGACCACCAGGTGCCAGCAAGTCAGTAAACCAATCTCCCGAGGGCGCACCAGTGCACAGAGCCCCTCTGCGCTGATGTTCTGCTTCCCCTTTGGAAAACAGTCCTCAGTTACCGGGCTCTGCCCTGCTGTGTTAATCCATGCTGCCCATGGAAGCTGCTGCTGACTGTCTCTGCTCAGGCGTGTAATGGGTCTGAGGAAAAGGGTGGGTGGGGAGCACACTTTCCTTTTTGTTGCAGGAACGAACTGCCAGGGCCTGGCGGCGGGGTGCCTTTTGCACCCAGGTGTGCACAAGCGAGCCTCCCTCTGTGGCTGCATCTGCCTGAGCAGGCTCCGCTTTGGACCCACCACGCTCTCTGCACCCCAAAGCCCACCTCCCAGAGGCTTCGCATGGTGCTCCCACCTTGACGGGCCTTGAGCCCTCCAGTGGGCCTTGCTGTGGGACACAGGAAGTCACCACGTGGTTACAACACATGCCAGGTCAAGAGCCAGGCCTTCCTGGACTTCCCTGGTGGCAGATAAGAATCCTCCTGCCAATGCAGGAGGCATGGGTTTGATCCCTGATCCGGGCAGTTAAGACCCCTGATGCCGTGGAGCAGCTAAGCCCATGCACCACAACTACTAAAGCCTGTGTGCCCTAGAGCCTGTGCTCCGCAACAAGAGAAGCCACGGCGGTGAGAAGCCTGTGCCCCACAATGAAGAATAGCCCCCACTTGCCGCAACTAGAGAAAGCCTGTGTGCCGCGGTGAAGACCCAGTGCAGCCATAAATAAATAATTTTCTAGAAAGAAAACAGTTTACAAAAACAAAGAGAGCCAGGCCTTTTTCTCCTAGAAATAGGAAGCAAGGTGTCAGCGGCTTCTGAGAGGGCCGAGGCCAGGCAGGATGGGCAGGGGAACCAGCAGAGGTTTGCAGTCACCCCTGGGGGTAGGAGAGAGGGTGACCACACGGTTGGATTCTGCACATTTGTGTAAGCACCAGTGTGGTTCCTCCCAACAGAGCTATAGCCACCGGGTGTAGGCATGCAGCAGGCAGGCAGCCGGTGTAGACAGACAGAAGAGAAGAGCAAGGAGGCATCCGGGTTGAAGGTGTTGGCAGAGGGTCGGAAGAGAAGGTCCGTGGGGTGTAGAATGATGGGGAGGTGGAAAGGGCAGATGCATTTGAAGAGCAGGGAATGTTTGAAAGGGATCAGGAGGCCATCGGAGAGTCAGCCTAGTGGAAGGAAGGGCCCAGGAGACCTGGAAGGGGAAGGGTCATGCTGAGAGCATGGGAGAGAACTCAGCATTTCAAAGGGGTCATCTCCGGAGGGAGTGACTGTGGGGCGAGGGGGACCTTCACTTGGCGCTGAAGGGGGGTGAAGGGCTGAGAGGTTCACCTTCCCCCAGGAGCCCATCCGTTTGTGACCAAGGGGAAGTGACCCCAGGTCAGCAGATGAAGACCCAGGGGTGGGCTGCAGCCATACTCCCACACCGCCCTCCTTGTGCAGCCACACCGCAGGCCCTAGGTTTAGAGGGGAGTCAGCGCTGTGTGGCCTTAAGTAAGCTACTTAGCTTCTCTGGGCCTTAGTTTTCTCATGTGTATAATGGTACCTTCTCAGGTAGCTCAGTGGGTAAAGAATCCATCTGCAATGCAGGAGATGCCGGTTCGATTGGGCTGGGATGGGAAGACCCCAAGAGGAAGGCATGGCAACCCACTCCAGTATTCTTGCCTGAAGAAGCCCATGGACAGCGGAGCCTGCCGGCTACAGTCCATAGGGTTGCAAAGAGTAAGACACGACTGAAGCAACTGAGCACGCAAAGACTTGGGAGGATGCAGAAAGGGAGGAAGCTCAGAGCTCTGTGGGCATGAGCGTGTAGGCAAAGGTGTCCACTCTGTGGTATTGTAGTTATTAGGATATACTGCTTTCCTCCCTCCAGGCTCGAGTCCACTGGTTCTCAGATGTGAATGTGCATCAGAACCACCCAGAGGGCTTGATAGAACAGCCTGCCAGGCCATGCCCCAGAGCTTCTGATTCAGGAGTGGGGGGAGTGGGAGGCCAGGTAGCACTGATGCTGCTGGTGCAAGGACACCTCTTGGGCATCACTGCTCTAGAGTCTCTACAGACCATGAGACCTTGGCAGGCAGAGGACCCCCAACATCCAGCAGTGACCAGCACAGAGCAGGGGCCTCGGCCTGGGAAGAGTGGCTCCGGGACAAGCACAGATTCTCAATACAGCAGCTGGTCACCATGAGAAGAGGTGGTGTTGAATGATAAAGAGGTCACTTGGGAAGAGCCTCGAAATTATGGTGGTCTGTGCAGAAAGCTGGATTTGTATCTGGGGAGCAAACGCTGAGGTTCACCGCAAAGCAGTCACCCATGCGTTTTATTGGAACTGCTGTCAGGGGCAGAATGCTGGGCTGGAAGGACCATGGCCCTGGCAACACTGCTGGCTTCAGAGTGCTCATTTGCTGGCCTGTTCCGATGACATGATGCTGTGTCCTGCATGTGAAGAGCACATCTGCCCTGGGACGATCACCGTGTCCACTGGCCTTGAGCCTTTTCCTGAGGCTGAACTTGAATGTCTCCCCATGTGGGCTCAGTCCAGGATTTTTATTGTTCTGTGAACCTGAGAGAAACCCTCCCCAGCACCCATTTGGAAATGAATTAACTGTTTTTCTCAGACAGCGATTGGTTCTCCATGCCTGGTGCTCCAGCCTCCTGCCAGATGTGGGCCACCACCTGCCAGGAGAAACGTCCTCTCTCCAGCCTTGCGGCCAAGCTCGGAATCCCAGGTGCAGCCAAAGAGCCCATTATGAGTATTATTTGTTAAGAACCAAGTGTTAAATTAGCACAGGAGCAGTCCTGGCCCAGGCCAGCAGGATTTGCCGGCCAACTGTGGTGCCCGGGGAGCAGAGGCGCCCCTGGGCGCAGGCTTCCCTGCTTCCCGCAGAGACACCAAGCCTGGTAATTCATGCACGCCGAGGCCAGCAGCTCTGCTGGGCAGGCAATTAAGTCAAGAAGGGGAACCTGCTCTGCTGACGGTTGGGATTAAAGCTAAATGAATTCAACTCAGAGAAAAGGGCTGCGACCCTTCTCCCTCTGGCCTAATTATCTTAATTAACAGTGTTTGGCAGGAGTATTGAGGCCCGCATTGATCGAGCTGCTCCTGTTACCCCTCAGAGCCCTAGACACAAGTAGCCTCGGTAATAAAAACCCAATTCTCAACAGCCCTCTGAATTTCTTTCCAGCCCTCTTCCTCTAAGAAAACCATGGGGTTTCTGAGTTGGAGGGAATCCTTTAAACCAGGGTTTCTCAGAGTGTGGCCTGAGGACCACTCTCCTCAAAGTACCTGGGATATGGCAACAAAATGCACTTCCCCAGCTCCCTGAGACCTATCCAGCTGAATCTCCAGGAGTCAATCTCTGGGAGTGGTGGTATTGCTCTTTTCTCTTTAATTTTGTTTTCTGATCGTGGTAAAATATACCTGACATTGTGCATGCATGCTAAGTCACTTCAGTCATGTCCAACTCTTTGCAACCCCATGGACTGTAGCCCACCAGGCTTCTCTGTCTATGGATTCTCCAGGCAAGAATACTGGAGTGGGTTGCCATGCCCTCCTCCAGGGGATCTTCTTGACACAGGGATCGAAACTGCCTCTCCTTCAGCTCTCGCACTGCAGGCAGATTCTTTACCGCTGAGCCACCAGGGACACACCATACCTGACATTAAGGAGATTCATACTGTAGATTGTGGCTCAGGCAGTAAAGAATCTGCCTGCAACACTGGAGACCTGGGTTCGATCCCTGGGTAGGGAAGATCCCCTGGAGAAGGGACTGGCAACCCACTCCAGTATTCTTGCCTGGAGAATCCCATGGCCAGAGGAGCCTGGTGGGCTACAGTCCATGGGATCACAAAGAGTCGTACATGACTGAGCATTCATCTCCAGAAATTTCTCATCATCCCAAACAGAAGCTCTGAACCTACAAAACCATAATTCCCCACCCCTCCCTCCAACCCCTGGAAATGTCTGTTCATTTTCTGTCTCTCTGAATTTGGCTAATCTAAGTCACTCATATAAGTGGAATCAAACAGTATGTGTCTTTTGTGATTCACTTATTTCATGGAGGCTATCTTTAAGGTTCACACATGTTGTTGAAGTGTGTGCCAGCTTTTTGTCTGTTTTTAGTAATATTCCATTTTACGGATGGACCACATTATCCTCTCATCTGTCAGTGGACATTTGGGTCATTCCTACCCATTGGCTGTTGTACATAATGCTGTCATGAGTGTGGTATGCAAATACTTGTACTGGGTCTAAGGTACCATCAAACTTGCAGCCATGTGAGGTGTCCTTCTGAAACTGGAATCACCTGGAGAGATTTGACTACTCAGGATGCCCTAGCCATACCATAGACCAACCAAATCACCCATAGATGGGACCCAGTTCCTGTATTTTAACTCCCGCAGTGGTTGGAACCATACATTGGAATGTATGGCCAAGTTAGAGAGCCATGGGTTTATACCAGTGATTCTAAAATTTGGGTGTGTACAAAATTCAGTCACTTGTTAAGAGCCCAGACCCCTGAGAGTCTCTTTTAACTGGTCTATGGGAAGCCCGAGCTTCAGTGCTCGAAGCTCTTCAGGTGGTTCTCATGTGCCACCAGAGTTGAGAATGGCTCCTCTCGTTCAGTCTGTCACTGAAACAAGAACCTGCTGAGGCTGCGGAGGTGACCCTCTCTGCCCACGGTTCTGAGCCCTTTGGCACCCAGGTCTGCACTGGTCCCCAGCGCTGATTCCTGAGCCAGTCCCATGAGTTCTCCAAACTCTACCACACGGGTGCAGAGGGTAGCTCATACATGGAACCTCCTTTTGTCCTACTCTTAATTTGAACTGTTAGACTTGAATGAGACCACGACTGACATATTAAGGAACAGTATTGCTGTATTAGGGAAGATTACTCATATATTAGGAAACAACATGAACATATTAGTGAACATGAAATTTGCATTTGCTTATGTGCCGTTTCTTAAGCTTAAGAAAACGACCCCGCTGCACCAGCCTACGTATGATGAGGGAGAATATCTCAGAAATCCACCAGCGATCTTCGCACTCTGTGTGTTTTGAGCTGACACCCATTCCCAACTGGTGTTCCACTTCCCCTGATACCAGATAGTCCCCTCCTTCCAGCACCTCACAGTAGCTCCCAAGCGGCAACCCTCAGGCCTTTTTCAAGGAAAGGAATATTTCTTGCAATGTGTTGTGTATATTTCTTACCTGCATACATGTATAAAACAGTGCTACCATTTTCATTAGGTTTTTTAGGTGCTGACAATGAAGGTTTTGCAGGCTGTGTGCTGCCCTCTTTTCCCCCAGAAGTCCTGTGGTCTTATTGTGTGATTTTGCATAGCTGAGCGATTTTTAGGAAGGACTGAGTATATCGCCTGATGGCCGAACTAACGGTGTCAGTACGTGTCGCTTCTCACCATCTTTTTACGAATAGTTTAGGAGCACACTGCCAGGCCACTCTATCTGCTGCCGTTGAGAACTCACTCCAGACACCCCTGGATGGCGCCCTCCTCTGCGGGGTCGGAAGTGGCTGCCAGCAACCAGCTGCTCTGGGGTCAAGAAGCAAGGAGCCCTGTCTGGCACAGGCTTCTTCCGGGCCTTAACCCAACACACTCTCATCCCTCTCGCTCCCTTTGGCTTAAGCCCCCTTAGGGTTTGGACTTTTGGTCACTTCATCTTTTTTCTTGGGCTCCGTAAGTCCACACCTGCTGCCCATCCTGTCTCACAGCCTGCCTTCACTCTAGAAGCTCATCTTTCTGACATTTGGTCAGGTCTGAAACAATTCCGTGGCCTGGTTCTCACCTTGAAATTAGATTTGCCCTCTACCAGTGTTTGTTTGTATTTATTTCAACCCATTTTGGATCCTGGTTCCCATTCCAGGAGACCCCGGCCTGCGATGGTCCCTCTTCCTAGCTTCTGTCTTCATGAATAAACCCCTCCAGACTCCTGTTGGCTCACCAGGTCCCCTGGCTCTGTTTGTATTTATTTCAACCCATTTTGGATCCTGGTTCCCATTCCAGGAGACCCCGGCCTGCGATGGTCCCTCTTCCTAGCTTCTGTCTTCATGAATAAACCCCTCCAGACTCCTGTTGGCTCACCAGGTCCCCTGGCTCCTCTGTCCATGTGTCTTGCCACCTGACCTGTAGAAGTCTGCTTCAGAGATAAAGATGTAGCTATTTCACACTTTGCTGTATTTCATAAGAAAATAGGTCTGCAGTATGTCTTCATAGCATGACATGAACCCAAGTGATTTTCTTTAATATCTGTTTGTTCAACTGGCCTTATCTATCTTGCTGTTTAATTTTAGTTTCCCTGTTAATACTTGAAAATTCAGTGTATTGAACATGTGTTGTTTGGGACTTTCTTTCATTTGTTTTTACCATGAATTCAAGGTCAAGCTGCCTAGTACAGTGTCGACATTTGGAGGCCGGCCCTGAGTGGTCCGTAAAAAGACAGAATTGAAACTAGACATCTTAACTCTGTTACTCTGAACTGGTGTTCTCACTCCCGTGTCTCTGTAGGGATTTTCCTGTCAGGTTACATAAGACGAGAATTCATTCTGATGTTTGAATAAAACAACAGCCGCAGAACTGTCAGCAGCTTGGGGGCCAAGCTAGTTCTTTCCTGCAAATATCAGTTCAGTATCAGAACACATTTATCTTGCAGTCACTTACAATCCTCATTGGTGAAATCAAAGTCTCCATTCTCTTTTCTTCCAAAACAGAGGTTAACGAACTATGGTATTTGGACTACAAAGCCTAAAATATTCACCGTTTGGCCCTTTACAGAAAAAGTTTCCCAAGTCCTGTTCTAGAGTGTAAAACCTGGTGGTTGTTTTATGTAAACCAAAGGTCTTCCTCATGAGATTGAAAGGGATAGCCTTCAGGAGAACAGGGAACCCTCTGAACTCAGGTACAAAATTTGATTTATGTTGCAAATATGCATTTTTGGAGAGTGAAAGGTCAGGCTTGGTCTGTTGTGTTCACCACTAAAACAGAACCAGACAGAGATGCTCAGCAAAAATTAATGAGTAAGTTATTGAGGAGGAGGGTGTGGCAGAGACAGGCCAGAACCAGATCAAGGAAGTCTTTGCAGGATTTTATTCCCAGAGCAGGGAGAGGAGGAGAAAGGGGGTCTGTGTGGAGGTGTGGTATATTCTGGGTTATGTTTCTGAAAGAACACCCTGGCTGCTCTTTGGGAAACGGAGGGTAAGACTGGAAATAAGAGAGATCAGTGAGAGCTCTCAAGTCTAGTCCTGTCAAGAGATGGGGGCTTGAACGGAGTAGGCTTGGGAGATGAAACTGACACGACTTGCTACCATGGGGGTGACATTTCAGAGAACAAAGGTGACTCTGCTATTGTTACCCTGAGCCCATGAGTGGAAATGGCAGAGAAAATAAGAGCCTTAATAAACATTCTCACCAAGTTTTTTCTTATGATTTCTTAAGTGCCTGGTTTTGGGTTTATTTTTAATAGTAGGTTATATTTAATTACTACCAACTGGAAATTATTTAATTTCAAATGTGAAATGGCAATAGTATTTCACCTGATGATATAC